TCTAGTCCTCAAGTTTTGCTTGAGATTTCTCCACTAACTTTATCAAGATTAATCCAGAATTTTAGTAACCTTAGTACAATCCTAGACTTCAACTAAAGTCTGAAGCACTCCCCCTTATAAAGGTAATGATATAACCCATTTAAACTCCCTTAATTTAAGGTGCTTTGTTATGAGTCAGAAAAATAGAGGCAAACAGAGTGTGTTCAAAGATAAACAACTACTGTTAAATACTCTCGCTTAGAGTTAATATATAATTAATGAAGCTCACTGATAATAAATATAAACTCAGAAGTTTAGTAAACAATAAATATGAATGATTTGAGTTTTCTTGTATTCGTTCGCACTTCACCGTCTTCATAAATGCTTGTATTTATAGTTGAAGCTCGTAAAGGATCTATTATACTCATGGATATGACCGTTTGAGTCATAAACTTCTTTTCTCTAAGTTGTCTGAGCAATCGCTGAACTGAGATAATGGAACAATGCTTTTTGGCAAAGCTTTTTCTATTACAGCAAGTAAGAAAAGTAACGGCACTTTTTATTAAATATTCTAACAAGGTAGGTGAGATAATATTTTGGAAGAGAAAAGCTATTTAGGAATAAAAATTTTATGAATAAGATCAATCTAAGCTCACTTTATCCCAAGAATGCATTTAGAATGATTTTTGAAAGATTATATTATCATTAAAGCACTTAAAACGTGAAAGAAGGAATATCAAAGAGATTATGGAGAACCTATGTTTTTCTTGCGTAAAACAGAGTAAGTGTATTTCCATTTATTTAGGATCATGTGAGGCTATTTAGGAATAGTGAAGATCATTCTGAATGAAGATGCTGAGAGGTTATTTTGAAGTAGTGAACTTATATCGAAGTAGACTTACAAAGCATTGTTCTGAAAATCTTTATTTAGGAATAAGAGGGACTATTCCTAAATAAGCTATTTCTGAACAGGTTATTTCAGAATGATGCAACGCATATAAGCTTATGAAGAACAGAACACTATTTCGAAATAAGGATAGCTATTCCCAAATAAGATATTCCTAAATAGGCAAAAGAGATGATATTTGGAAATAAGGAAGGTTTACTTAGGAATACGCTATTTTGAAATAAGGTCACTATTATAGAATAAGGACCATTGAGCAGAAAACCAACGAAGGCACTCAAATGTTGAATTTTTTATTCTAAGCATATTTGAGACACCTTTTAAGCAATACAAGAGGTCCTTAAGGGATTAAGATAAAGTCAAATACTTAATCTTTAGTGAGAAACACAATGTATATAGATTCAGGAAGAACTTACATGTTCCTTGGCTATTTGGGAATAAGACAGATATTTAAGAATAAGGAGATATATGAGAATGAGACGAGATATAGAAATTTAAATCCAAGTTGATTAATTTCCTTACAAGCCATTATCTCTTGATTATTAAACCTGTCAAACACAAACTTCTCTTATTTTGTAATCATCAAAACCAGAATTTAACATTTTAAATGCGAGAATTTTAGTTAAGGACCACCATAGAGAATTAATTTCATGTGGGTCCAAAAAATTTTTAAAATTTTAGTTCATTCAAGGGGAGAAAAGTTAAAAGAATGTTGATGGTAAAAAGATCAAGATATCCTTCACTTATTATGCAGAATCACTAGTTATTAATTTTCTTACTCCACTTGTCAATTTACAAATATAAGTTGCAAATTACATGAGTTGATATGTCAATAATTATATAAGACTTGACATCAATTTTTCAATCACAAGTAGCAATATCAGTTGTTAAATTACTAATTTTACTTGTTAATTTATTAACATCAGTTATAAATTATTAATAGGTCTTGTAATTTACTAATATCAATTGTAAATTACTGACAGGTCTTGTCATTTACAATTGATGTTAGTAGATTAACATGTAAAGTTAACAAATTAATAACTAATGTTACTGATTGTCTGACAAATAGATATAATTTATAAATAATATTGGTAAATTAATAAGTATAGTAAAAAAATTAATAACTAATAATTATGCATAACAAATGAAGAGTATTTAGGTCTTTTCACTATTAAAATTCTTTTGACTTTTCTCCCCTGAATTGAGTTAAAATTTTAAATTTTTTTTTAGTCCACCTAAAATTAATTCTCTACTGTGGTCCTTAACTGAAATTTTTTCTTTTAAAACTGTCTTTGGAATAAGAACAAATAAAAAAAAAAGACATTACCTTCATTGTTATTTATAGGTTACTTTTTAGAAGATTTATGTTCTTGTTTATAATTCATTTTGTTAACTTTATAAACTTTATAAAGTAATTACTATTTTTTCTGATAATGCCCTTAGTGTGGATATTAGTAAAGGTGATTGTCATGAAAAGAGGGATTGAGAAAGTTGATAAAGAATTTACATTTAATCAAGGATATTTAGGAAAAAAATAAGAAAAATTGATCTTTTGGTCTTTGAAATATTAATTCACTTATAGCTCAATTTTTCAATTATGACTCGTTGTACTTAATACTTAAACTATTGACTTGCTTAAAACTTAGTCTCAATGTTTGAGTCATTTTTGAATTGCCTTTTGCTGCCAAACTCATCCCATGTGGCAGTGGCTGTGTAGCAAAAAATAAATATTTTGGCCACATCTATGGCTAAGCATTGCAAAAATAAGAAAACAGAAGAAAGGAAAAGAAATAACTGTAAAGAAGCAAATAAAGTCGAGTGAATGGCTCTGTGACCTCATTATCGTCGTTTTATTGGGATGATTACGAATGACAAATGAAATGGAATTTGAAAAAACGTGGTCGTCCCCGTGAGGCTTGTAAACTTTGAAACATTTGTAGGAATTCCAAACTTAGTTGTAGAATCAGTGGTCCAGAGGAAGAACATTATCCAAAAATGCAATCACGAAGCGACTACCACAAAACTTGCTAGTCGCACCTGTGACTGTTGAATCAAACTTTTTCATTTTTATAAATTATTTAATGCAAATCATAAATAGCAATGAAATTAATATCCCAATCATCATATATACACCTATGTTATTAGTAAAAAAGAGTAGAGGAAAACAGAGTGTTCATATATACTTTGCATATTTTTGTCTGTTGATAATATAATACATTGCTTAAGCAATTATAAATGAATTTCAACAACACATTAAGTCTTCATACACTAGCATGGGAAGAAGAGATATCCAAGGGTGACGACTTCCATGTGTGGTTGGCGACTAAGCTCTATTATTTGCATTACATTCTAGGCATTACTGCTGTCTCTATCACTTTGTCATTTTTTTTTTTGGTTTAATTACCATGGCATTTAATGATATTTTAAAATGAAAATTGAATAAGTTCAAATACTACCCAAAAAAAAAAGAGTTTGACCCATTTAAGTCCAAGAAGTGAAAGTATATCTACGCAAAAAGTCTACCAATTCAAGTGCGGACATGCCCATGATTGCTACACATGAATTTTATTCTAATTCATTAAGAGAATGACTCAATTTCATTCAAAACAACATTTAGAATTCACTTAAAAAATAAAAACATAGCAAATGAGCTTTGTGACCTTTGTCACTTACCCCTACAAACCCAAATTTGTATGTCTCGTTGTTGACACCTTCCCTTGTCACAAAGTGATTGCAACTTGTTATGTCTTCACTTCTTCACCTTCTTGTCACAGTCATTACTTTCTTTGTGATCTTCCTACTCACTGTTGAACTTTGTCCACTCTGCAAGTGTTATCTTTTTATTTTTATTTTTTGGGAGCTATGTCAAATTCTCTCTGCTTAAACGCTTAAACCCTTTTGTTTTTTTTCCTTCAACCAAAATCCTACATGGAGGCCAAATCATCTTGATTTAATGGCGCTAGTGATGTTAATTGACATGTAGGATGAATCCACAATGAGTTATGAAGGAAAGGGATCTACTTATAAAAAGTAAAAAATTAAGAAACTGAGTTCTAAATGAGTTTATAGTTCGAGAATCTAATTATACTGAGTCATATTTGAAGAAATGAGTTTAAAATGAGTCATATTTTAGGGATGAAAATATTAATTTTCTCAACAAAAAAAAGTAATTTTATGACAGTTAAATAATTTTAATTAATTTCGTTGATTTGCTTGAATTAGTTTAATATCATTTATAAATTTAGAGAGAGTGAGTCTCTTTGCCTCAAATACGAAAAAGTATTAATGATATCAGATTTATAAGTTGTCCTTTTATTCATTTCCCCTCTTTTCATTATCTCTTACTTCAAAGATGCTTACTATTACACACTTTCTCTGGCAACATATACACATCTTTAATTGAAAATCTAAATCTGAATTAGATTCTGTTTGTGAACACTAACAAAATGGAACAAGAACAGATTAGAATAATTTACATCATGAACATGTAGTCATATACGAATAAAATTAGAATTTAGAGATGTATAAATTAAAAAGAAAATTAAAAAAATTCAGGAGTTGTTATTCAATGGAAGGTACAGAATTTTCTACAATAGATAAACATTAAACAATATTGGACGTTTGATTTTCGATTTTAGGCCAAGAATGCATTCCGGTAGCACATTTATCCAATCCACTGATTCTAACATAAACCAATAAAAAAGTATAAAATTTATTAAATTGTATAATTAACCACTTATGAATTATATAACTTAGGGATGATAGAACTTTTAGTCCCCCAAGTTTACTTCAATTATTAATTCAGTTCCTTGAATTTAATTTTTTATCAATTTAGTCCATTTTATTTTATTAAATTATCATTTTAATCTTTTGAATTTTAAAATACAAATTGACTCTCAAATTAATGTAATATGTAAAGCATATTGATGACTTGACATGTATATTTAGATAAATGAAAATAAATTAATCCTCAAATTAATTCAATTTTAGGCAATCTAATATCTTATTGTGTGTTTTGTTCTTTTGTTTTTAAATTTTATTCTTTTTTTTTCTTATCTAAATAATTAAAATTGTATTCATTAATCTGCGTTGCTAACATCAAGTTTCACAATACATGTTAGCAGATTTTAATAGCACTACCACTTTTTTTAAATAATAAGAATCACATTGATGATTGAGATAAACTCAAATGACCAAATTGATTAAAAAAAAAGATAAACTTAAAAGATATGATAATTAAAAAAACTCAAAAAAAAAAAACTAAAACTTTCATTATTTATTACGCCAACTAAAACAACAGTAGTTAAATTTTCACTTGGCTGGAATTTAAGAAGCCTCTATCTCCTCCATCCACTCAGAATTGGGTTCACTCCAAGACCGTGGTCTAACCCCAAGTTTAGAATACACTATTTTTCTCCAACACTTCAAATACCTTATGCCTATCCAGAAACTCATTCCAAGCTCCACTCACAATGCAATAATTACTGTTATAGGCGGCCGGTGGTGGGCGGCATGCTGCGACCGTGACACCAGTACTCCGGCATCCTGTAATGCCACCACGAGTGGCGGAAGCCGGCTTTTTGTCCTGTGGGCCGAGGCATGAAACTGCTGGCTAAACATAATGCAACCAGAACACACTCCAACAAACCCAAGAAGTTTTGGGTCATTGAAAACAAGTACAATAGGAAACACTGTGAGTGTAACTCCACGAGCCAATATATGCAAGTTGTTAGCAAATTGACGTCTTGTTATGGCCCGTGGACACTTATGGTGACCTTGAAAAGCCTCAATTTGAGGACCAAACACAGGTGTGGACTCATCTCCATAATTATCAATAGCCCAATGGTAAACGCCAGAGCCTAGATCGGCCAACATATAGCCAAGCCAACCGGCCAAGACCGGTTCGAACCAGACTTGCATGATGGTTGCTTGACGAATGCACTCAGCCAATGAAACAATCACAGTAGTGCAACCGGCTGCAACCCAGGCTCGATGTGACCACGTTGATTGTAAACTCGGATCATTAGTTAAGGGATGGTTAGTGGTGCTACTAATAACCACTGGTTTAGGAGACATAGGCTGATGAGGTTGTTCCATGACTAATTGTGTAGCTTAAGAGTTCAACTTGGTGGTGGTGGTGCTAGAGCAATGCATTCGGGCGCGGCCGCGGAGGAGGAGGAGGAGCGGACTGCGCGTGGTGGATTGGTGGTCGTGGGGACTTGGTCGGTACTTGCGTGGGGCTGAGGAGGACATTGAGATGCAGAATATGATATATATATATATATATATATATGCATGTAGAGAGAGAGAGATACACGCGCGCGACTTGCGGAGATAGAGAATAGAAGACGTAATGAAACTGTTCTTGCGCCGAATGCTTTTGTCAAATAGAGAGTTAATGAAATGAAACGGTGGGTTTGGTTGAAAGGAAGAAGGGAAGAATGGGAGGGGGTTTGGATTGGGTGCATATCTCTGCCACAGGTACTGAGTGCATGTTTTATCTAAGCTGTTAAAATTTAGATTAACTATTCTGAATTTATATCCCTCTAGATATCAAAGAATAATTGAGCTTTTTTTAACTGTTAATTTAAATTTTAATAATTTAGATGGAACAAACATTTCATGCTTGTACTAGAAATAGGCACTGAATCCAAATGGGAGGAGGATGTGGTGAGAAAGAGGATTCTCATAGAAACTCTTTTTTATTATTAATAAAATAAAATAAATAAATAGAAAATTAATTTTTAAGGTAAAAATTGAAATTGATTAAAAAATAAAAAAAATAAAATAATATTCAGCAATTCAACTATTCAGGCCAACCTGAATAAGTCTAAAAGCTCAAGTTGTTAAGGTTAAGCTTGGTGATGTGGCCTTTTTAATAAAATTAATAAAAACTCATGCATTATTGTTAACTTAAGGATATATGAAACTTTTATGAAAAAAAAAAATTCTGAATATTTTTACACCTTGTGCTTGTTTTCTTTTCTTTTTTTTAAATGGTTAACGTTAATTGTTGTTTGTCAAATTTAACAAAATAGAATTTGTTGCACTTGTTATAACAAATTTATAAATATTCTTGCATCTTTATTCACTTACATATGTCGGATACTCCTATAGAAAAAATGGTTGGATATTTTGGCCCTTTAACAAATAAAAAAGAATAAAAAAAGCACTATTTACGGTACCATTTATAATCCACTTTTTAGAAGATTTTTATCTTATTTATAATTTATTTTATAAAATTGATAAAAAATTAATATTTTTTTCTAGTACAGCCCTTGGTGTGGATATTAGTAAGGTAATTTTTGCGAAAAGAGGAATTGAGAAAGTTGGCAAAAGAATTTGCATTTAGTCAAGGATATTTATGAAAAAATTGAGTAATTTCAAGGCAATTAAATACTTTAACTTTCTTGACTTGCATGAATCAGTTAAATAAGATTTATAAATAAATTAATGTTATGAGAACAGGATCTATCATATAATCAATTGAGGTACTAGTTCACAATTTAATCATTAGACTAGGGTTAGGTCATGGTTGAGCCATTTATAATTAAATTAATATATTAAAATGTTATAGAAAATTATAAATTAATTTTATTTTTTTATTGGAATTTCAAAATCATTGTTAAGTTTTTTGGAGATGGTGATCACATATTCTTTTAAAGGAAACAAGATCTAAATTTGTTTGAAAAGGTATGTAAATAAGTGTTTGAATGAATATATAGATGAATAAGATGGTTACATGTAAAGAAGTTCAAAAAAATCCACTAAAAAAGAAATAAAAGGGATGCATGCTTATTTTTAAGATTAGTCATTTGGCACTTTTGAGAGGCAAATTATTACTAAATTAAAATAATATCACATTAAACAAAAATATAGATACATAGCTGGAAAAATAGAGATAAAAGAGATATTCATACATAAAAAATTAAGTATAAGGAGCTAACACAAAACATGAACTAAGATGAGAAGAAAATTAAAAACAACGAGTAGACTTGTAGGAAAGACTGGAGACATTGCAACAGTGCTTTTGGGGAGACAATTGGGTGAATAGTGGACTAGTAGTAGAGTTTTTAAAATTACTTTTTTTTTCTTTTAAGAGTTAATTTTTTTTTCAAAATCGTTTTATTATCGGTTAGTTCAGCTCACTAGTTTTTGATCAGTTTATCAATTTAAAGCTAGTTCTTATTTAATGTTGTTATTTGTGTGTGCTAGATTGGACAAGGTATAGGTTCTCAGTTATCGTTCTCGTTTTCTTAACAATAAAATGAATATAGAGGGAGTTATTATTATTATTATTTTTGCTTCAAATAAGAAAAAGTATTAATGCTATGAGATTTATATATTGTCCTTTTATTCATTTCCCATCTTTTCACTGTCTTACTTAAGGTATTTACTACTCAGCCTCATTTTATAAGATACTTTTATAAAAGATTCAGCATTCAAATATAAAATATTTGTGACAAAAATAAAATTTTATTAATAATATTTTTTAATATTATTCTTCCCATATATTCGATCTTTTTAGTATTTTTTCACTAAAAAATTATTAATCAGATGCATTTTTAAAAGTTTGATATTTTTTTGTTTTAAAAAAAGTATGGTTATAAAGTAAATTATTTAATACTGATATATGTGATTTTGTCTTAAAGTATTTTATAAATTGGAATGGAATTAGTATTTCAAACTTTTTTGGTGCAACATATGAACATATGCATATTTTAAATAATTGAAAATCCAAATCTGAATTAAACTGTGATTGCGTCCACTAGAAAAATTGAGCAAGAACATACAAGAGTAATTTGCGTCATGATAAAGTTATAGTTCTAGATTAATAACTCCCGGGCATGGCAGCAGTAACATAAACTAATAAAATCAGAATTTAGAAATGTATGAATTAAAAAAAAAAGGGAGATCAGAATAACAAAAATATACCTCTGAAATATCTAAATAACGACTAAATACCATGAGATATGATAATTATTATTTCGTGAAACTCGTCTGACATTCTGAATTTTTTTTAGTGAAACCTGATACTTGATTCATAAAAGAATGTGCACAAAAGAATATGAAACTACAGATAAACTAAAAGGCAAAAAACCGAAAACCAACCAAATCAAATACAAGAAGGTTGGTCATACAAGTTAAAATTAATAGTAAGACTAAAAGCTAGCTTAGCAAGATAATTAATTATCCTATTTTCTTCTCTGTATATAAAATGAAATTGGACATCCCATTCCCTACTCAAAATTTTGTTGATTGAATCAATAATATGTTAAAAAGGATTATAATTATAATTATCTTTTGTGATCGTAAAAATAACATTCGCACAACTATAAAAGACCTCCACAATCGTCAAAACATTTCTACTAACAAATTTCGAAACCTTTGAATTGAAGATACCATAAATTTAAAAAATAGGAAGCGGAAGTTTACCCATTGGACAATTAAAACCCAAAATCCGAGCTCTAGCAGCTCCTTTCAGCATATATACATCTACAAGCACTATTTCCATTTCAAAGAGTTGAACCATCTACTGTTTCTAGTCGAATTGGATGAGTATACATGTGAAGGTAGTTGTGATTTTAAATTCAAGTAAGTAACTACTTTGAAAAAAGTGCGGTTAGGTTCTTCCCCCACCGAACCTTCTTCCTCTTGAAAAACACATCTGCCCCTATCTATCCAGATGTCCCCACCCATGTGCATAGAGGTTATCCCAAGGTTTATTTTGGACAAAAGATTTAACCACATTTGTCTTCATATTGCAATTTAACCAATCCCAATCCCACCTGTCGTGCTCAATCTGAAATTTTTTTTAAAAAAAATTGAATAAAAATATTTGGAAATTGTCACCAAAATTTTAAAAAGTAATATTAAAAATGAATGATTGTCTTGAATTAATTATACAAATTTACATGGCCTTAAAAATTATCTTTATTATCCTTAATAAAAAAGACAAGAAAAACAAAAGAAAAAGTTTTATTTATTTATAATTTAGACTCAGTATTAGAAAAATGCAATTTTCCCTAGCTAATTATGTTTTAGTGAGGGATTTTGTCCCTTGCTAAATTCATAATTAAAAAAAAATTTACTAAATTTAACGAGGGATCGTATTTAGTAAGGGATTTAGTCCTTGCTAAAATTAGCGAGGGATTCCTAACTAATCCCTCGCCAATACTATTTAAAATTTGATAATTTAATGAGCGATTAGTCTCTCACTAATTCCTCACTAAATATACTTATATTTAAAAATAGTGATTCCACATCACCTACAATGTGTGCATTAATTCATGACATGTCATTGTCCACCTTGTGTCATGTCACTTGCTCATTACCATGTTATTTATTCAGTATGTTTATGTCAAAGTTAAGACTTGAACCCTTGACTTCATACCTTTCAAGGCTTATGCTCTCCTTCTTTGTCAGTTTAATTGAAAGGCACTAGCAGTCATTATATGAGAAATTAAATATATATTATTTCACTACATAAATATATTAAATAATATATTATAAAAATACACACATATATACATATTAAATTTTATTTTCAATCATTAATATGTTAAACATATTTATATTTTATTTAAATTATTATTTATATTCTATTTTTAATAAAATATTATTTTATTAATGAAAATAAACTTAAAATGAAGAAAATATTAAATATTAAATAATTTTATTATGAACATTTTAGTTAATTTTTAAATTTAATTTTTATTTTTAAATAAAAATTTAATATATAACTAAAATTCATTGCCAAGGTTAATTTTTTTTTGTAGTAGTTAGCTAGGAATAGAATCTCTTACTAAATTCCTCACTAATTATCTTATTTTAGAAAAGAATTGGCAGTTCTTTACTATTTTTCTCACTAATTGTCTAATTTTAGAGAGGGATTGACAGTTCCTTACTAATTTAATATTTTAGAAAGGAATAGACGATCCCTCACTAAATTTTCTCATTAATTTATATTTTTCTAGTAATGACTTGACCTAGGATAAAACTCTATGGCTTAGGTACCCTTTTGATGAGAAATCAAAGCTCAATAGTTTAGGTAAAAATATGTGTCTGTTGGTTGAGGGTTTTTCAAAGGAAAATATTTATTATCCTTTTTTAATAAAATGATTTTTAATGTAGATTTTTATTTTTGAAATTTATAAAAATAATTTGAGAAATAATTTAGTGAAAAATATTTTAATAAGTTTCACAAAGGTTTTGTATATCCTAAATTCCATCTTTTAAATATGATTTATCTTATTTTATTTTTTAGGCAAGCCTTTTAATTTTATTTATGGAGAAAACATTTTGAAATATGTACTCATGATAATTTATCATTGTATAGAATAAGCTAGTTGATTTATAAACTTGTCAAGGCTCTAAAAGTCTCACGCAATGAATAATTTTAAAATTATGTGCATGCAATAATTTATTGCTATAGAGAATAAGATAATTAATTAACTTACAATACCTTACAAGAACTCTAAAAGTCTCATACTGTCAAAACATATAAAACAATTTTAGTGAACCACATGTGATAATTTATCACCATATATAACAAATTAATTACTTAA